GACTTCACAGGGGGGAACCCCAGAGGCAAAGGGGCAATGGGTACCTCCTTCAGTGGCCTCCACAGTTGCGACTGGGAGGCCTCTCCAGGGTGGCTAGGGCATCCCATCAACCACCCGGTCACACACAAACCTGAACCAGTCCCTCCCGGTACCTGGCATCAGAGCCCGGAACATCTTCCTCCACACCTGGAATTTGAAGTCATCTGAGATGATCGGCAGCTGGATGTCGAGACGGGCGGGTGGGGGGGACTCCGCCAGGATCTTCTGCAGCCTGAGGGTGGGGAGGTAAAGAGGAGGGATCTGTGAGGGGGAGGACAAGGGCTGGGGGGATTCTAGGATCTCCCCACATCACAACCCTGCTCAAAACTCTTCCTTTGGAGTTTCGGTTTGGGAAGATGAGAAAGTTCTGAAGATGGACACTGGTGATGGTTGTACAATGTGAATGTACTTAGCGCCACTGAATTTTAAATGCACACTTAAAAATGCTTAAAATGAGCTAGGTGGGGTATATTCCCAGGTGCTCAGGGAGGCTGACTCAGGAGACTCACTGGAGCTCAGAAATTTGAGTCCAGTCTGGGCAACACAGCAAAATCCTGTCAAAAAAAAAAAAAAAAAAAAGCCGGGCGCAGTGGCCTTTAATCCCAGCACTTTGGGAGGCCAAGGCAGGCAGGTCATCTGAGGTCGAAAGTTCAAGACCAGCCTGGCTAACATGGCAAAACCCCATCTCTACTAAAAATACAAAAATTATATGGGCATGATGGTGGGCACCTGTAATGCCAGCTACTCAGGAGGCTGAGGTGGGAGAATCACTTGAACTCAGGAGGTGGAGGTTGCAGTGAGCCAAGATTGTCCCATTACACTCCAGCCCAGGCAAAAAGAAACCCCATCTAAAAAAAAACTTAAAATTGTCAATTTTAAGTTACATATATTTTACCACTGTTTGTTTCCCTTGTTTGTTTACCACTGTTTGTTTGTTTGTTTGTTTTTTGAGATTGAATCTGGCTCTGTCACACAGGCTGGAGTGCAATGGCACAATCTTGGCTCACTGCAGTCTCCACCTCCCGAGTTCAAGCAATTCTCCTGCCTCAGCCACTGAATAGCTGGGAATAGAGGAGTCCGCCACCACACCAGGCTAATTTTTGTGTTAAAAATTAGCTAGGTATTGATCTCCTGAACTCAAGTGATCCGCCTGCCTCAGCCTCCCAGGTGCTTGGATGACAGGTGTGAGCCACCGTACCCGGCCCAACCACATTTTTTTTAATCCTTCTGTTGGGATAAAGTCCAAGCCCCCCAGCTTTGTCAGCACAAATGCATCTACCACCCCAGCTTCCTCTTCCTCCCACTCACCAGCAGCAGCCGTTCCCTCTGCGAGCAGTGCCCTTCTCCCCCCAACTCCCTTCTTCCCGCCGTGCCCTTCTCCTCGAAACGCCTTTCTCCCGGCTCCCCAAAGTGCCCTTCTCCCCGAAATGCCCTTCTTCCCCCAGCGCTTTGCCTAGCCAACTCCTGTTCATCCCTCCAGGACCCAATTCAAACGTCCACTCCTTCTCTGGCCACCCCTTTTCCTCCACGGACACACTGAGCACACAATGATGCCTGTGTCCCCACCCACGTGTCTCTAGGCACCAGTCTAGCAGGTCCCTCAGGAAAAGCATCAGTCTAGATTATTTCTGTCTACAACCCTGTGTTCAGGCAGGGAAGGGCAGCGGACTGTATTGCAGGTGTGCAGGCACACTGGTGAGTGGAGAGTGAAACAGCTGGTGTCCCTAGAAGACTGGGACAAGTCGGGCAAAGGGGCAGGGCCACGTTGCTCTCACCTGCTGGTCACCAGGCAGTATTTCTGGAGAGAGAGAAAAAGAGAATGGTGGTGAAGCCGATGGTGGGGACATTGGAGACTTTGAGGATGGGGTAGACAGCTAGGAACGCTGAGTGCGATGTCAGAAAGAATCAGAAAAGCCAAAAGAGGCTGGACAAGGTGGCTCATGCCTATAGTCTCAACACTTTGGGAGGCCAAGGCGGGTGGGTCATCTGAGGCCAGGAGTTCGAGATCAGCCTGGCCAACAGAGTGAAATCCCATCTCTACTAAAATTACAAAAAAAATCAGCCGGGTGTGGTGGCGTACACCTGTAATCTTAGCTACTCAGAAGGTCGAGGCAGGAGAATCACTTGAACCCAGGAGGTAGAGGTTGCAGTGAGCTGAGATCATGCCACTGCACTCCAGCCTGGATAACAGAGCGAGACCCTGTCTCAGAAAAAAAAAAAAGAAAGAAAGAAACCCAGAACTCAAGACCACCCCTACCCCTTCACTTTCATGTGGATTAGAAAAAGGTATCCTCTCCTCCAAGAATCTCTGATTCCACCTGTTAGAAGATTTCCTAATAGGCTGGGTGCACTGGATCACACCTGCAATTCCAGCACTTTGGGAGGATGAGGCAGGCAGATTGAGGCCAGCCAACAGAGTGAGACCCAATCTCTACTAAAAATAAAAAAATTAGCTGGGCATGGTGGTATGCACCTGTAGTGCCAGCTATGGGAGGCTGAGATGGTGGGATTGCTTGAGCCTACAAAGTCAAGGCTGCAGTGAGCTATGATCATGCCACTGCACTCCAGTCTGGGTGACAGAGTGAGACCCTGCCTTAAAAAAAGAAGGTGTCCTAATAAATATATAAACCTACAATGTCTATGATTTAAATGGTGTTCACTTAATACAATGCCCTTGTGCAGTGCTCAACCTAAACAACCATACAGCAGTCCTGAGGCCTGCCCCTCCCAGATACGTGATGCTGGCTTATGCCCGCCCCACTCAGGGCCTATCTGATAATGGGATAAGGTCTCTGGGGCCTGAGCAGGGGGCCGAGGCAGGGAGGGGAGGGGAGGTCACCCAGTGCTCACCATGAGGAACTCAGTCTGTGGCTTGTCCGTCACCTCTTCCAGCACCTTCTCCATCTGCCGCAGCTGCTCCAGGTAAGAGTTCAGGCTCCCCAGCTCCCGCCGCAAGGCGACCCCTGCCTCGCCCCGCACACGCTCTGCCTCCCGGTCCAAAGAGCCCTCCAGTGCAGCCAGGAACAACCGCATCTTGCCCAGCTGGTCCCCCACGGCTGCCCGGAACTGACGCACCATCTCCTGCAGGGATGGGGCGGTGATCCACAGGATAAAGGCTCTTGGCTGGAGACCCCTAGCCTGGCGCCCCCCCACCACACACACACAGGCTCGGCCCTGCGAAGCCCTCACCTCCACCTCCACCAGCTGATGCTCCAGCACAGCCACGCTCTTCTCCTTGCGCATGCACGCCTCCTGCAGCTGCAGTTTCTGCTGTGGCAGCTGTGTCTGGGGGTGAGGCATGGAGAAGTGATGGGGATGCCACCCGCCCCAAACCCACACCTCCCATCTAAACCTGCCCTCTGTGGCTCAACCTCGATGCCAGCTCCTCCTCCAGCCAGCTTCCCATCCCCAAACCCACTTGCATTTCTCCTGGCCTCAGCTAGTGCTACGCCCAAGGTTCAGATGCTTCCCCTGCCCTTGTCTATTTCCGTGTTTGGTTTTTGGGGGTTTTTTTGGTGTTTTGAGACAGGGTCTCTCTCTCACCCTGGCAGAATGCATGTCATGGTCACAGCTAACTGCAACCTCACCCTCCCAGGCTTAATTGACCCTCTCACCTCAGTCTCCCAAATAGCTGGAACTATAGGCACGCATCACCATGCCCAACGAATTTCTTTTTTTTTTTTTTTTTGAGATGGAGTCTCGCTCTGTCACCTAGGCTGCAGTGCAGTGGTGCAATCTCAGCTCATTGCAACCTCCACCTCCCAAGTTCAAGAAATTCTTCTGCCTCCACCTCCCAAGAGCTGGGACTAAAGGTCTGCACCATCACACCCGACTAATTTTGGTATTTTTAGTAGAGACGGGGTTTCACCATGTTGGCCAGGCTGTTCTCGAACTTCTGACCTCAGGTGATCCACCCACCTCAGCCTCCCAAAGTGCTGGAATTACAGGCATGAGCCACCACACCCCCAGCCCCTTGTCTATTTTGTTGACCCCTCCCTGGTCGTGCCTTCCCTGACCCCCTCTGCTCAGCAGTCAGCCCCACAGCACAGGTCTTTGTGAGGATGTCAGACACCAGTGAAGTTTGATCTCCCCTACCAGACAGGCAGGCACAGAGCTTGGCACACAACAGACCTCAGGGAGGTCTGTTACAAGTACATGAGGGATGTGTGAAAGAAGAAAGGCAGCCTTCCCCTACTCCTGGGTTTCCTCTCTTACGTAAAAGCAAGAACACCAGCTAGGTGCGGTGGCTCACGCTGGTAATCCTAGCACTTTGGGAGACCGAGGCAGGTGGATCACAAGGTCAGGAGTTCGAGACCAGCCTGGCCAACATGACGAAACATCGTCTCTACTAAAAATACAAAAATTAGCTGGGCATGGTGGTGCACGCCTGTAATCCCAGCTACTAGGGAGGCTGAGAAGGGAGAATCGCTTGAACATGGCTGATGGAGGTTGCAGCAAGCAAAGATCACACCACTGCACTCCAGCCTGTACGACGGGACCAAGACTCCATCTCAAAAAAAAAAAAAAAGCAGAACACCAGCCTTAGTCAGTCTGACCCCCCAAGTCAGCCTGCCTGTACACATATGGGCTTGGGGGGTGGGGGGCAGGCAATTTAATTTAAATATTCCCTTATAGACCAACCAACCACTCTGTGGTCTAGATCTTACTCAAGACCTGAAATGCACATATGCAAATATAGGAACGCTCCCTCTACTCCTGCCAAAGCCACTTCTTTTTTTTTTTCCCCTAGGCTTTAGTGCAGTGGCACAATCACAGCTCACTGCATCCTCGATCTCCCAGGCTCAAGCAGTTCTTCTGCCTCAGCCTATAACTGGCACCACAGGGATGAGCGACCATGCCAGGCTACAAAGCCACTTCTTTGCTGGGAGGTGCTTGGCCCTGGAATCAGTTCCACTCCTGCCTCCACGACTTTTAACCTGTTTCCTCCTTTGCAGATTGGGAACAGCAATCCCCACCTCAACAATTTGGCTCCCCCCACTTTCCCAGGGGAAACTGGGGGACCCTCTAAGGCGGTGTTTGCAGAGTCCCCTCCCAGCAGGAGCCACAGGGTTGCACGTGAGCTGCCAGATCAGTCTCCTCCCCAGGACATCCCCAGGGGCGGCGGCTCCTCCTGCTGCGGGAGAGGTGGGGCCTAGTGGTTCAGGGCCCTCGGACGCTCAGAGGCGCAAGGCTGAGCCATGGGAAGGAAGCGCGACGCCATCCTGGAGGTGCTGGAGAACCTGACCCCGGAGGAGCTCAAGAAGTTCAAGATGAAGCTGGGGACGGTGCCGCTGCGCGAGGGCTTTCACCGCATCCCGAGGGGCGCGCTTGGGCAGCTGGACATCGTGGACCTCACTGACAAGCTGGTCGCCTTCTACCGCGAGGACTATGCAACCGAGTTCGTCGTGACCGTGCTGCTCGACATGGGCATGCAGGAGGAGGAGGAGCGGCTGCGAGCCGCGTGGGGGCCACTCCGAGCTGGCACGTGGTCTCGGGACCCAACTCCACTTCCTCACCAAGGACCCAGGCGTTGGGTCCCGCCCAGAGCCTTCCTGTCTTCCGCCTCCTTCAGGCTCCCTTCTGGGGTCCTCCCTCAGACCTCCGGCCAGCACCTCCTGGTGGCGAAGGGCTGGGCTGCCGAGGGCCCCGGGGGGGGGCGCTGCATCTTGTCCCACTGCCCTTTTCCAGGCTGTTGGGCTGCCTGGGCCCTGTTCTGTTTCACGGGTTCTGTGCTCTCTTCGCAGATAAAGACGGACGAGTTTGGGAGCTCCAGGGCATAAGCACAGGGGAGCTGGGATGGGAGGGCTCCTGGAAGGAGGCTCCTGCCCTGAGCTAGGAGACCACCAGCCAGGACTGAGCTGAACTGGGCCAGGCAGGAGCTGGCGGGACTGAGAGTCTGGGCCCCTGGGAAGTATGGGGGCCTCGAATACCAACGAAAGGACGGTGGTTTACCCCCTCTAGGATACGGGCCAAGGGAAGGAGCAGTGCAACGCTGGTAAAGCCAGCCCCGCGCGCGCCCCAGTCTCGGAAGACAATGGCAGTGTCTCCACCTTGGAGACCGGAGACCGAGGACGCCTCCGTGCCTCCGGATCCCGCCTCCTCCAGCCCTGTACCTGGCGTTTATTCTTCCACTGACCAATAAACATTTATGGCAGGCTTTCCTGGGGCTGCGCGCACACGTGTCCGCTCGTAGATACACGCGTGTGCTTTGCCACACGTGTAACACGCCCTAGCCGGTGTGCACGCGTCTCTATTTGCCTGTGTCTCGGTGTCTCTGCTGGGTATGTCCTGGCGCACACAACTGCGTGGGATCCCAAGGCTTTCGGGACTTCCAGCTACACCCAGAAAGGCATCCTGGGTGGGGCTCTCGGTGCCATGCTGGGCCCGCGCTCACATGTGCAAACCCCGGCGTACCTTGTCCTTCCCGCCTCCCTTCCGGTAAGGCCAGCCTGGACCCATCAGGCCCGCCCAAGTTCCGCAGCTTCAGGGGCGCGCGTGGGCCTCAGCTAAGGACAGCCCCGCCCCGGCCGCCTGGTTCCCTCCGGAACGCCGCTCCTCCCGTCCAAAGAGGGCCAGCGCCGCGCGGGGAGCCAGTCCGACCCGCCCACCGGGTGCATGAATATGCGCGTGGTCCGCGGGGCTGGCCAGTCCCGGTTCCGCCCTGCTCGCCTGGCCCATCAGACCCGCCCCGGGGATCCGCCCGCCCATCTTCAGGCCCCTCGAGGGGTTCAGGCCCGGAAACCTAGGTTTGCTCAGCACCCTTCTGGCCAGGCTCGGTCCCCGCGCGGCTTTCCTCTACCAGCCCCGCATTCAGCTCCTCAGACCCTCTTTCCTGGCTGCTTCGCCCCGCCTCCGCTCCCCGCAACTGCAGGTTCTCGGGAGCCTCTCTAAAGTCTCAGAATCCAAGTCAGTGCAGCGACCTCCCGTCGGCCAGGCCCGGCGCCACCGAACAACCCCTCTGACCCCGACGCGCGTGGATCCCGCACCTTGAGGCGAGCGTGGGCCTCGGCGGCGGGCAGGAGGCGGTGGCCGCGGTGCGAGCCGAGTGAGGCGCACACTCCGCACACCAGCGCTCGGTCCTGCTCGCAGTAGATGCTCAGCGGGTCCAGGTGCTCCTCGCAGTGGCCCTGGGGCACCTGCGCCAGCCCCTCCACCAGGCGCGCCAGCTGCAGGTTGGTATTGAGTGCCTGCGGCCGCGTGGGAGCCTGGCAGCAGGGGCAGAGAACGGTGCCATCCGCCGCCGGCTCCCCGGCCACGCGGCCCAGGCAGGCGCGACAAAAACTGTGGCCGCACTCGGCTGTCACAGGAGCGTCGAACAGCTGCAGGCACAGCGGGCAGGACAACTCCTGATGCAGGAGGCCGGGCGCAGCCGACATGGCGGACCTGGGTGGAGGAAAAGTCGGTTAGGGGAACCCCGCGGCGCCGCGCTCCTGGCCCAGCCCCAGCCTAAGGCCGGGCCCCGCTGCTCGCCGCAGGGAGAAGCACCAGCCTGTAAAGACCTCACATCCTACACTGGATGGGGCTCTGACGGCCCAGGGGAAAGACGAACTCGGTCTCAGGCCCAAAAGCAGCCTCCATGGCAATTCTCAGCTCCAGATCCAAAAATATGTCCTATCGGTCAACCCCAGTTCCTGAACACAAGCCCAGGGTCTAGCCCACTGTCTTTGCCCTCGCCTTAGCCCCAGGCCCCACCCTCTGACCTCAGCTCCTGCTCCAAATTCCCCAGAGCCCCTACTCTGAGACTCCCCTCTCCCACTTTACCAAGATCCCCAGCCCTCCCCGCCCCCGTCTCTCCAGCCCCTGGGACTCACGAGTCTGGTTGGAGATCTTAGGCCGAAAGAGACTCTAAGGAGGACCGGTCAGGATCGGGCCTAGCTGGACCGGGGTCAGGGCTGTGTCCAAGGATCTGAGACAGGCAGCAGGCTCCAAGCAAGGACGGGGACTCACAGGGGCAGCTGGCAGTGGACACTCGGCGTGATGGGCACACAGTGCTCAGCGGAAGACCCTCCCAGACTAAGCCTGGCCCCTGCACTATATTTAGCTGCTCTGCCCAATCCCTCCTACCACTTCTGGAAACCGTTCTAAAAGTAAGGGCTGAGTCGTCCCCGGGCACGTATCACATGCCAGGTCCACCTGTCTTGGCCCATCCACTGTCCGCTCTGCGCCAGCCTGGAGCTAGAGCTCAGAGCCAGCAGGGAGACAGGGCCTCTCACACCACGGAAAAAACAGAAAATTGAGTGGGAAGTCTCCCCTTTCTCCCCCCACTCCCACCTTTACACTCTCCAGCTCCTTCCTCCTTTCCTGCAGCACCTCTCCAGCCTGTGGTCCACTCATTCCCCAAGCTTATGGCTGACCAAGGCCACTCTGGCAGGATTATCCCACCTGCAGGAGGGCAAGACCTCACCCCACCCTGAAATGTTTTCCTCCTCCAGAGCTGAGGGGAGGGTCTTTTCCACATTGGTCTCTCCAGTACACCCAGAACAAGCCCTGGGGCGAAGAATAAGGTCTCTCTAAATGCTTGGAAAATGACTGATAGAGAGATATTGAATAAATGAATGAACTGAATCCAAAGCCTGCAGCCCAGAACTCAATTCTGCCCTGGTTCCTGTATGTGTACCTTTCAAATCTCAGCTGAAATTTTATTTAAGTGGCGCTGGGATAACTGGCTAGCGACATGCAAGGGAATGAAACTGGACCCCTACCTTTTACCATATACAAAAATTAACTCAGCTGGCCTGGCGAGGTGGCTCATGCCTGTAATCTCAGTACTTTGGGAGGCCAGGGTGGATCACGAGGTCAGGAGTTTGAGACCAGCTTGACCAACATGGGGAAACCCCATCTCTACTAAAAATACAAAAATTAGCCAGGCTTGGCAGCCCATCTAAAACTATATAAATAAATAAAATAAAATAAGTTCACAATGCCTGCACAACATGGCAAAACCCTATCTCTACAAAAAATACCAAAAAATTAGCTGAGTGTGGTGGTGCATGCCTGTGATCTCAGCTATTCAGGAGGCTGACGTGGGAGGATTACCTGAACCTGGGAGGCGAAGGCTGAAGTGGGCCGAGATTGTACACTGTACTCCAGCCTGGGTGACAGAGTGAGACCCTGTCTCAAGAAAATAAATAAAGATAAGGCCGGGCGCGGTGGCTCAAGCCTGTAATCCTAGCTTTGGGAGGCTGAGGCGGGTGGATCACGAGGTCAAGAGATCGAGACCATCCTGGTCAACATGGTGAGACCCCGTCTCTACTAAAAATACAAAACATTAGCTGGGCATGGTGGTGCGTGCCTGTAATCCCAGCTACTCAGGAGGCTGAGGCAGGAGAATCGCTTGAACTCGGAAGGCGGAGGTTGCGGTGAGCCGAGATCGCGCCATTGCACTCCAGCCTGGGTAACATGAGTGAAACTCCGTCTCAAATAAATAAATAAATAAATAAATAAGATAAAAAATAGAAGTTGAAATTATTTAAAAAAGAAAAAAAATCATTTTACCTTCATTTTTTTGTGTGTATGTGAGACTGAGTCTCACTGTGTCTCCCAAGCTGGAGTACACTGGTATGATCTCAACTCACTGCAGCTTCTGCCTCCCAGGTTCAAGCGATTCTCCTGTCTCAGCCTCCTAAGTAGCTGGGATTACGGAACCAGCCACCACATTTGGCTAATTTTTGTATTTTTAGTAGAGACGGGATTTCACCATTTTGGCCAGGCTGCTCTCGAACTCCTGACCTCATGTGATGTCTCCCAATTTTACTTTCAGTTGTTTTTTTTTTAAAGGGCCAGGCACGGTGGCTCACCCCTGTAATCCCAGCACTTTGGGAGGTGGAAGCAGGAAGATTACTGATCAGGAGTTTGAAACCAGCCTGGCCAACATGGTGAAACCCCACCTCTACTAAAAAAAACAAAAAAAGAAAAACACAAAAATTGGCCGGGTGTGGTGGCAAGTGCCTGTAATCCCAGCTCCCTGGAAGGCCGAGGCTGGAGAATCGCTTCAACCCAGGAGCCGGAGGCTGCAGTGAGCTGAGATCATGCCACTGCACTCCAGCCTGGGTGATGGAGCAAGACTGTGTCTCAAAAACAATTAAAATAAAAATAAAAAAATAAAAGAAAGACATTTCATCTAGAATAAAAACCAAAGTGCTCACTGTGGCCCACATGCCCTATCTGGTACAACCTTTAATCACTCTGACCTGTTTTTCACCCCTTTCCCCGTTGATCACTTGGCATCCGGGACTTTGCACTTGCCGTCTCCGCTGCCTGGAACACTTTCCAACCCAAGTACTGCGTGGCTTCCTTTTTTTTCCTCCCTCAGACTTTGCTCAATGTCACCTTTCCAGCAAAGCCTCTCCCAACTCCCTGATTTTAAATCTCCTATCTCCCCAACACCTCACTTCCTGGCTTTCTTTCTCCCCATAGCATTTATCACCATCTAGCATGCTACCATTCCACTTGTTTGCTGGTTTCTTGTCTATCTCTTCCTACAGAATAGAAATTGTGTTTACTGCTTGTCTCCAGCTCAGAATAAAGCATGTGACACACAGTAGGCGTTCCACAGATACTGGGTGAATGAATAAGCATGCAAACTCCGTCTCTCTCACTTGGCCTCTCCATCTTTCTCTTAGCTTCCCTCAAACCTTTCCCTGGTTTTACTCTTTCCTCTCTCAATAGCTCTCTGTCTCTCTCAGTATGAATTTCTGAATTGCTGTTTCTGTTTCTGTTTCAGTCTCTTAATCTCCCCTTTGGACTCTCCCTTTGCCTCTTTCTTAGGTTGTTAATTTTTTATCTTTCTTTTTTTTTTCTTTTTTTTTTTTTTTTTTTTTTTTTCTTTTTTCCAAGATGGAGTCTCACTCTGTCACCCAGGCTGGAGTGCAGTGGTGTGATCTTGCCTCACTGCAACCTCCATTTCCTGGGTTCAAGTGATTCTCCGGCCTCAGCCTCCTGAGTAGCTGGAATTACAGGCACACGCCACACCAGCTAATTTTTGTATTTTTCATAGAGATAGGGGTTTCACCATGTTGCCCAGGCTGGTCTTGAACTCCTGACCTAAGGTGATCCACCTGCCTCGGCCTCCCAAAGTTCTGGGATTACAGGTGTGAGCCACCGTGCCCAGCAAAAAGTTATATTATTCTTTTGGATAAGAGCAATTACCTGTGTAAATGAC